TACAAGTATAATTTCACTGTTTTTCACTGCTTTTTCTCAAATTGATGTTCATTTCGATCCAGACACTGCTGACAACGCCAAGCATTGGAATCGCTCCCTTGGGATTTGGATGCATTCATGTTCAATGACTTCTCTTAATTCCTTGGCTGTTGCAGGCTTCGTAGCATAGACTTTGTCATTTAAGTACCCCTATAGGAAAAAAACTTAATGGTGTGAGGTCTGATGAATGAGGAGAATATTCAGCAAAAACCTCATCGTCCAATCCAACTGTTTGGCAGGACCTCTCATTGATAATGTGGAGTGGCCCAGATTGCGGTAAATGAAGCTCTTCATCTTCAGAGTCTTCCCTAACGCTTAGTAAAACAGACTTCCGTACAATAATGAAATAAAAATAAACACAATTTTTACAATTATTTTAAATGTGTATGCATTTTCGGGACACCCTGTAAATAACAAAAATACCAAAATCGTAATTGATTCATTGTTCATTTGAATGAATGAATGAAAAAGCATTTTTAAATCTATATAATTAGTTTTTTTGCTAAGAAAGAAATCCGAACCGTAATATCTCTCAATGAATTTTGTAAATTCAGTATTATCTCAAATTATATTAATCGATCGGTGAGTTTAGTATTTCCTCCTTCCAAAATTTAAATCTATCGTTAGTATCTCAGTATTGAAACATATATATCTGATTGTCTTATTCATGCTCAAATTTTTCAACATTTTCTGTGCCATTCCACTTTCGTAATCAAAATTCGTAAGTTTTATATTTTGACTTTCCTATTTCAGGAAGTATGAAACTTTCGATGAATTGCATTTGAATTTTGATCCTTTTCCAAAGATAATGCATTTTGTCTTTTATTTTGAAAGATCTGTTAAGCAGGAATAGCAAATAAATGGGCTTTGATTTGATTAAAATAACGTTTACATAAGAAATAACAGTTTTTCTCGCATTCTGAATTTAATTTAAGTTTACAAACTGACTTCCACACCAATGGCGACCCAGGAAATTAGTAAAAAGCCAAGAATAATAAAATAGAAAGGCCAATTATTGAACAAATTGAAATTAAACTAGGTCAACAGTTTTTAAACAATATTTTAATCTTTTCTATTTTTCACATTAATTGCAATTATGGCGTCAACTAGTTTTTATATCTTTCCGTTGTGCTAACGAACGCAATTAATAACATTAAAAATAGTATTTTAAAGGATTGTATTGCTAAAGCGTTTATTAAAGCGTGAACACTCTTTCATAGATCAATAAATTGCTGGAGGAAAAGGTGTGACAGAAATTCAGTGTGCAACTTTTCTTTCAAAATCGCGCACCCCTAGAAAAAAACCTTTAAAGGCGATAATTCATAGTCCAAATCACTGGTTAATTCATAAAATAACATTTCAGTAAAATCTTGAAAAGATGAAGAAAAGGTTTATCTTTCTTTGCGATTATGGCAACAGATGGTGATTTCTTAAATGCCCTAATCTAAATTAAAACGAAAAAATAGTTCAGTCAAAATAAAAAGAAATCGCAAAGAGACAATGGAGAAATAAGTCCCTGTCATTATTTCACTGTTTAAAAAATTATGACTGCCGAAACTCCCATTTTTCAATTCTGCTTTAAATGCTATTTAGGCCAGTAGGCTTTGATAGGATTTAATTCTTTTGAATAAAATGTGAATTGAATTTGTTCAAGCGCCTCTGAGATTTATTAAATAAAAATTAATATGGAGAATAATATTGCGCTGCGGGAACTAGGAGATTAAATAACTTAATAAATATTTCGCTTCTATGAAAGGCATTATATTGAGTATGTGAAATCGGTAAAGATCACTGCTAACTCCGTAACTCCATTGTCGGGTATCAACGTTGTGTTACTTCTAGAATATTTTACAGTTTATTATATGTCTTCTTAAAATAACTCTACATTCGTGACTCCCACACGAGGTGAAGCAAAATTGTTTCTGTGTTGATCTTCCAAACAAAACTCAAAGTCAAACCAGGATAGGCCAATCATTAAGTCTCACTGATTTCACTGACTAAACGCCCATTTCAATACTCATTTCGGATTTTCAATTAAATATTTAACTAAATTTCCTTATTATTAGGAGCAATAAATGGCCAAAGTGGAATTCAGAATTGAATAGATCTAATCTTGACAGTTCAAAAAATAGCATGATAAAAAATTAACTTGTCTTTAAGGAATTGAATGTAAAATTGGGCAAATTCTAAATATTGAATATTGACAAGCAAAAATATAATAGATTTGACTCTATCTGAATTATCAAAGTGATCAATATTTCGTGAGATAATTTTGGGATCATACGATGGTGTTCAACTCAACATCCTCTAAGTTCATAACAGCTCAACAATAACAGACGATGTTGCCTTCCGCGGATTAATTATAAGAACAAAATATTTTCTGAGACTGAAATGAGTCTCTGTGAGCACTTCTGAATTTAAAAAAGATATAACAGAACCACAAACCAATATTAACAGTCAAGATCAATTAGCGGGTTAGTAGGTTCTGAATATCATGAAAGTCAATTCAATTCTGAAAAATTTGAATATCAGAAATTGAACTCAATTTTTCTCATAAACAGGACTAAATATTTATAAGTACGAATACAGGGTTTTTTTAAATTTGAATAAATAGTAATAGATGAAATATAGCATAACAATCTTATTGAAAAGAAATTGGCGGTGCAATCAGTTTACCTCCATTTCACCTACGTCTTCATGCCAATATTACGAAACTCTATGGATTAAAGAGAAAATCTGCCTTTGAGCACCGATTTTTTTGAAAAATATCGTATAACAAAGCTGAAAATGGAAATCTTATTTTGGTGGAGTATTCAAGGGGCCTTGCAGACCACTCTCTTTTTATGCATGAAGTTAAGAGCTAAATATTCTCTAGTCAAATTTAGAATTTGCAATCAATGAACTAAAAAGAAATAAAGTCATGAAAAAAGTAAATTTCCTATCAATAGGAATTTCATCTCCTTTAATTTAATGCATCTGAAAATATTGAAATAAGTGCTAATTTATTGCCTATACTGAACTGTTGGTATTGATCAGACTTAAAATTTTGTAACCTCAACTGGTGATTAAACTTCATATTTTATTTAGTGATATTTCTTTCCTTTTCAAGTCAATGCTTTTGACAGACCATATGATTCATTTACGCAAAATGAATGACTTCAACTCTATAAATATCTACATGCATATCTGCCTATATATAAAGTTTAAAACGAGTGTTTAGATACTTCGGAATGAGTGATTGCACTATTTTTACACTTAGGGTAAAATTCAAACTCAAAATTTTAGCAAAGCAGCTATTAATTAAATACACCAGTAGTAGGACTATCAGAGTTTGAGTGGAAGTTCAACTTTAGTGCACCTTTGCATTCAGAAAATAAATGTTTATAGAGAATTTAAAGCAAATTAGCAACTAATTCTTCACTTTCATTCACGGCTAAGTTGCACATTAAGATGCCCAAGTAATCCAAACCTCAATTTTCAAGATTTTAACCCTAGGTTTTAAGTTGTGTTCATTTTGACCGCATTTATGTCCTCATAAATCATTTGCTATATTTATTTTTTTTGATTAAATAGCTTTGATTCATTTAAACCTTCCAACTAGCATAAAGAAGAAGAAAGAGACTGATGGGAGCACTTTAAAATCTATGCTCCATTATGTATGTAGTTTATTGCGAGCTTGAACTTCCAATAAAAACTGATGCTTCGATTTTATCGGGGATATTTTAGGATATGTGTGCCATTTTAAAATTAAAATTAGAATTATTTTAACCCTCACCATTGTTAAATATGCAATAAGGCCATTAATTTGCATATATATTAATAAAATGATCAATCGGAATCTATAAGCTCTGTAACGGGAGTTGAGTAATAAATTTTATTTCACACAATATATGATTTATGGCCTTGATAAAAGCACACCACAAAAAAATCAGAAATAAAGTGTTGTCAATATTCGGTGAAATTTTTCCGCTAAAAGAATAGTTCTCAATTGGGATAGATTTTGCCAATTATTAAAATTCTCGGAGCACTCATTAAAGACTTTAATTGCAAAACATTATTATACCCAAAGCACAGAAGCAGAAATTTTGCAAATTTAAATAGCGATAAATAACTGAACTCAGTTTTGGAAATAAGATTATTGAAAAATTAGACCCAACCTCCCTCCTCTCTCATATGAAATAACTTACCAATAATTTGTTTACCTTACAAACTCACCAACGTATTTTTAAAGGAACTTTTATTATGCGGTTGTGCTCAATTTAAGAAAGTATATTACAAAGGAGAAAAATTTGGGTTGTCAATTTAAAAATGTGTAATTTTTAAGCCTTCTTTGACTCAAAACACAATCTATAAATTTTTTCACATATTTAGCGCCTAAGATGAATCTAAACTAGTATGAATCACAAATCATGCCGATCCATAATTATACGTGAGGTTTCAACCCAGAGACCTAAAAATAAGCACATATTTTAACACGGTGAATCTTAATGCTTCCCTACCATTTCGTCATTCAAGACAAAAGTATCTGATGTGAGTTAGTCAAAATCAAAACTTTTTTTAATGTAGATAGTTAAACTAGTGACTTGTGTCGAACACTCCTAGTTTAAACAGCACCCATAGCAAGAAGTTTACCCTAGTGGCATTATAATAAGTGCAAACTAACCTTGAAGTTTACTACCGCTTTTTAGGCTACAAGAAATAATAATGAATGACGCATTTGGAGACAAACTTTTAGTAATAAATTCCAGTAAAATTCCAAATAGTTGCCAATGAGTTTGACGATTCTAAAATTTTTTGCTTACATGTAAATGCGAAGAATAGAGTCTTGTGAAAAGAATCTGACAAAAATATATATTCAATTTCAAATCACGTCATTATTGAAGTTGATACAAAATCTTGTTAGTATAGAGAGAGAGTGTGTGTGTGTGAGAGAGAGATAATCGGGATGTAACCGTTGCAGGTCAGTTGATTCTAAAATCTCCATGCAAAATTCGTAGGAAAGCTCGCTTGAAGGCAACATTAGCCATGGCGTAGCAGAAGGGATTAAGAGGGGAATTCATATAACACATGAAGTAAGCAAAATTGTATAAATGCACATCAATACACGAATAACCAGTTGATGGAATGTCACAGAATCCTTTCACAATGATTATGATGTGATAGGGGGTCCAACAGACCATAAAAGCGCCCAAAATTAGACTAATCATCCGCAGGGCTTTCCGAGCTCTTCTTCGTTTTCTCCGCTCTGTTTTACGGTTCTCTATGTTCTTTGAATTCTCAAAGCGAAAGAATCGATCCCGTATAATGTTGGGACGGTCGGATTTTTGCTGGGACGGCATATTGGATAATTTGCTGTTGTTATTGTCCTGATATCTGCTTGAATCCGAGGAACTAATCTCCGGCTTAACCATTGGGCATGATTCATTTCGCATAAAGTGTGTTAGCTGTTTGAAAGGCTGGCAAAAGGAGACCATCGATCGCTTAGTTTTGCACTTCTTTTCTTCTTGCGTCTTCGGTGAATGCGTCGATTGAGGCAGAGTTAATATTTGAATCCTTCTTCCGCCATTGGTTTCGTTTTCCTGACTGTGTTTTGTTGTCTAAAATATATGAATATCCAGGAAATAAGTACGTTCTTTAGAATAATTAGTTCAACCGCATGATTTGTGATCATTTAGGGATGATGGGACATGGGATTATCAGGTTCTTAAAATGAAAGTTTCATTAATTAAGATCATATTAACTAAATGTGGCAACGAACACTAAGTCATAGTTAGTTAATATTAACATAAAATTATATCGATATACATAATTTGCGAATGCTTAATTCCACACTTTGATGTTTCGAACTATCTTAGAGAATAAGAAGAAATGCAATTAGACCATCTGATTGATGAGTACTTAACAGTACTTACACGAACTTTTTCAATAATCTGGGAGCTAAACCGAGACATCTGAACGTTCAGAAGTGTTTAAACAAGATATGATGAATTATATGTTTGGGAAGGAATTTTAAGCAACAGATGGAAGACTTTTGATTCGTTAACTTCATCATCCATTTCTGTTCATCCTTCTACATCCATTTTAATTCAAAATTAACATTTAAAAATGTAACGTATTGTTTTGCACCGAGTAAGCCTTAAAATTGAAGGTCAAATTAAGTCCATACGCTTTCTCCCAAACACGCACAATGTTCATTTTCTTCTAAAGGAAAAGTGCTAGGATGGTGGTTTAAATTTGGAAGGGAAGATGGTTCCCTTTTGTTTACCGCATTATTTGAGAAACAGAGCCGTTGCCACTTTGACGAGGTCACTTTCAGCTCTTCTTGCTTTCGTTCCGATAAATTATTACTACACTTTCAACTTGCAAGGAAATGCCATAAATAGTTTACGAGATATTATTGCCTGACAAAACAATAAAAAGGGGTTTTGAGAATAACAAACCCACTGAAATAAAAGAAATCAAATATTTTTTGAATAGTATAATAACTAAAAAGCCCCTAAACGCCGAAAAATTTATATTTGCCATTAATGAATGAGGGAGGATAAAGTTGAGTCTGCCAGCTATTAGCAGTATTCTTCATTGCTAAATCATGAATTCTCTTGTTGGGTCGCACTCTATGCCAAACCCCGGTTCCAGACATATCGGCCAGTTGTTTGAACAGCGTGATTGTTCGACTACCCGAATACATTCTATTCCTCAGGAAGCAAAGTTGAATCTCCAGGCACATATGACCTGTTCATTCTAATGTAATGAAATTAATCTTATTACCATTTTCATACTGCTTGTTCACTTAACTACAGCTAAAATTAAATTTGTGAGTAAGTACCACACTGATAGATTAAAAACGCATTGAATCGTTGCTACAAAAAGAAATTTTCGCTAAATGATTTTAAAGGGTGCTTTGCTAAACAAAACTACCTATAGCAAGGCAAAAATTGAAGGTGATAAGAACTCAAAGTAGCTGAAAAGTTTCTGGCTAACCCGGGGGTTGAGGGTAGGAATCAAAGCGATAAGGAGAGCAGCAGCAGTACATCAAAGGCTCGTCGTTTATTGGATTCGAATTCTACACATTTGCCAAATGGGCAGCTCACGTTGCAAGATTCCCACTTCACGATTTGTCTCACTTAGGCTGCAAGCAAATACTTGCGAATATTTTCAGACGTTTATTGATTGTATTTCTCTATCTTTATTACACGTTTTCTTTTAATACTATCGAAGGTAAAATTCTCTTAAATTTTAAGTAACTATTTTTTATGAAGATATAGCAAAGATAAGATAGTTAAACATTTTATCTTTGCCAGAGCTCAGTATGCAACATTTAATGAAATAGAGAATATTATAGTTCATAATAGTAAAATTGTCTTACTTAAAAGGATATTTCAAACAATATTGTTATGGTACAATATTGTCAAAAATTAATTAAATTTTTGCGAACAACTAAATCCCAATTTTACAATCTGCATTTCCATGGTGGTATCAAATATGCATAGACGAAGCCAAGAGCATCGAATAGATTAAGAGAACAGCGAGTACTCAAGAAATGATAATCAAATGAAGACTTTCAAAATGCCTAGTATACGCATTAAAAGTCGAGAGTAACAAATGTTGATACAATCATTCCTGCAATGATAAAAAAGTGAGTATGCTGACAATCTTTGAGATTTAAGAGAATCAAGTGTCGCCCTTCAACCCTAAACACTAAAGGTCGCGTTTAAACTTCTGAATTTCAAAGTCAATTGTGTCAACTCTGTTTATTTTAGCTATTAGTAATTGAACACACAGATCAATTCAATAAGGAAAATATTTATTCATATCACCATCTTTGTGAATGAATGGACATGAATTCGATTTAAATTTACGAAATGATAAATAAATGTAAGATTAAATTTAATTAAAATCCCATTAGTTATATTTGAGAGAACGGTTCGTTGATGAAAGATGGATCATAGAGATATTTAATTAAGAGAAAGTAATTAGAACCCAAATTTAATTAAACTGCTTGCCCAAAAAATGTTTGGCAAATTATTCCGACTCACCATTGTTATAGAAAATTTTGAAATAATTAATTTGGAAATAATAAAAGGTACTCTTTGAGTACTGCTGAAACATTGGCATGAATTTGTGTTAATATAAATGGATATTTGAAAATATTTCTTCTTTCCCAAGTGAAGTTCAAAAGCTCAGTATGTGGTCTAACGAGTTACTGCAACGTTTGAATTATTCAGGCACTTCTCCGGTGAGATTCGCATAATAAGTAAGTAGAGAGCTTATTTTTTCTTCAAAAGTTATAATTAAGAGAGTTTGTTAAAGAAATAAAATAGGAAGTTATCGATGAATCATCTGCAAATAGACACCTGGATGTAAATTCGGAATTTACCGCAGCCGTATTTTCACAAAGACGATTCCCCTCTACCACAGTGGCGGTATCTTTAAATATAATGGTGTCATAAAACAAATGGCAGATCTATCCGTTCGATTGCAAAATGCACATATATATATATGTAGGAGAGTATTACGAGTTATAAATTTACAACTCAGATTTTGGACGGAAATATCATACATTTTGCGTTAGTTTCTATCATATAGAAACAACCTTTCAAAGTTGCACCATTTCAAACATTTTCGAACTTTCTTAACCTCGAAAATTGTTAGTTTATCGAATGGCAAATTTGTTGTCTAAGGTTAAATGGTGTTGGCGAAGGCACTGATAACAAAGAGATGATGAATTCGATTAAACGTAATGCGAATTTTGAGACGAAACACGAGAACATAAAGACGAAAAATTTTATTTATACAAAATCAACTGGAATATTGATAGCAACTCCACATTTATCAAACAATAAGCTTTATTTATTCTTACGACCAGAATACTAGATAATGACACCCAATAGGATCATTTAAATTTTAACCAAGATGACAAATGATAAAACTATCCCGTTTACCCTACCTTGTTTTCTACTACTTAATTAATTATAAGATTCGCTTTGACAGTTAAATCAAACTCGCCTATCAAGTTTTGATTAATTGCAAATGACCCTGTATTGTACTTACTATTAAACAGAGTAATTTTACTGAGTAAAACAACTAACTTACAGCCATGCACTGATCTTCAAATCTGTACTGTGAACTAATTTCACTTTGACGCGTCCAAGGATCATAGCTTTCGAGTGAAATCGAGGATGTTTGACTGGGTGGTGCATTGGGGGATGAAATACTCTGGTAATTTTCACAAAATTCGGGTGATTCTAACGTCACAGAGCTGGTCCGCCCTTTATGCTCCGAGTATTCAAAGTCGGATTGAGGCCGTTGATTGTTATTGGACTCACCAAGACCAGAGTCTATGTATTCGGTGGGATGTTCTGCTTGGAATTGTACTGAAGATCTATTTGGCTGTGTTTGCTTATTTATACCGTTCTCAAGTCGATGATCAGCGCTGTTAAGAAAGGCAGGAAACGCAATACTTTCAAAATATATGCTAAATTGGTGTTTTAGTTTGCGAAATCGAGTTCATAGTCATGAACGAAGGATTAGCTTATTTGTGGTATAAAAAATAGAAGGCTGACGGTAGAGGGACAAGCCAAGTGTTAGTGCCATTAATATATCAAGATTAAAAATTAAATCAATTATTAATTGGTAAGAAGCTTTGCTCTTATATTAAATCAATACCATAATAACCCCACAAATGCATGAAAGAAGTTTTGAAATGGTTTAGACCTGAAATCTCATACCTGTCTAAAAATGTGAGTGTTTTATTATTAGAAATAATATTATGAATAACAAAAGTTTTATATTCAAGATATTCTATTTTTTTGGTTGTCTTAATACTATAAAATTGAATTTACAATTGTAAAACACCATTTTTTAAAATCTTAAATACATATTAAATCTTATGTTGATTTAATCAAAGTCTTTCTATTAAATAAATAAATCTAATAACCCGAGTTGGAGAGGAAGGACTAGATTGAGAGTTAAAGTACAAATGGACATTTATTTGGTATGATATCTGCGCATTAACATTCTCGCAATACATTCAAGGTAGAAAACTATTCAAATTCCCTCACATGTTTCCTTTTAGCATGCAAATATATTTTATTAATGGTTTAGTTAGAGTTAACTCCAATGTTTAATGAATTTTCAATAACTTTAAAGTATAAATTATATATACAATCTCATCTCATCGGTAATTGCCGTAACGGCTGATTACCTACTCGAGATGCGAACCAGATTTGGTTAATTAATATTCATACTGCCTTGCATCGGGGGGCCTTCAAAAATCTCTGACAGAGGTCTTATAACTTTGATTGAAGTTGGCGGTGCCATCCAAACTCTGTTACAAACCAAATTTAAGGTGCCAATTGTCTTTGAAAATTGTTTTAAAAAATTGCCATTTAATATGTCATTTTAAATTGTGACATTTTAGATGTTAAAATTGTGTTAAGCCATAAACACATGTTAATATGCGTTCTGGTCAATACATTTCATATTAATAGAATATAAATGAAAATGAACACCATCTTCAATATTTCATTGTCGAGACGTATTTAAGAATGCGACTTTAAGCAATCATGTCAGAGAAGAAGAATGTAAAAAAGATAATTTTTCTGACAAGAAAATTTGGCTGGCAAACCATAACTAACATGTTATTAAACAAATGCAGACGTTTTTTGCTCATCTTTTTCATATTTTTCTCATCAAGCCTTATGCATATATTTAGCGGTAAATAAAATATGGAAAGTTTAATTTTTTGGTCATAATAAAGCAAATAGAAGACTATCTTAAGGGACAGTATTGAAATTATTGTCAAACTAGTTTTAATAAGGGTAAAATTCCGTGCTGTCAGTTTTATATTGCATGATAGAGCTCTAAAAGATAAATAAAGTTATTCAAAACTAAAATTTATATTCGCATCTAGGCTGATTTATGTAAAAATTAAAATTGATATTTATTTTCCATGGTTTTATTCCTATGCTTTATTTTTTTGCTATTAAAATTGTGGCGTGATAGACAACTCCCTGTTTCTCCAACTCTTTTGTTTTTTATAGAAAATCTGTCATTTATCAAATAGTCTGCTTTTAGAAGTCCCAGGTTTATGAAAACTCAAAAAATATATTTTTTTAACATTTAAATACTATTATGAATACACCAATAAATTGCTAGTGCATTTTCCCTAAATTTCAATTATAGCTGTGAGGCAATTGTAATGTAATATCTCAATAAATTTTATTTAACGTTTTAAATTTTACTTTTTTATAATTATGGAAGGCGAAATTAAGATTATTCTGATTAAAGATCGGCAAATGGTTTTGTAAACATGACTATTTTCAAGCAAATATGTAAGGCATTAATCTAAGGTCATGGAAACGCTTTGGGTTGGCCACTTGTTCTTCTTGAAGAAGTATTCGGTAAGAATAAATTATTTGGCACTTATTTTTTTTAAAGTGAAAAATGAGGACCAGGCAAATTAAAAGGGGCTCATTTTGGGTAGTTACTATAATCCAACTTAAATTAAAATTGATTTATGTGCCTTTATTTCGAATTTGTGGAGAATTTAGATCAATGTAAGTAAGAATCGCATTCAGATAGAATTTTATCGCGATATTGTTATAAAACATTAAAAGTATTTTTCGTAGGACTAAAAATATTATTTCCTACTTTACAACTTCTCAGTGAATAATATATTATCATAAAAGTAATAAATTTAATATTCCATTTCCCTGTGCTTTTAATAATATATATATATACTCTGTGATAAGAGTAATAGCGGAAATAGGGATAGTCTTTAACGCGTTCTGAATTTAATGTGCACAATTTCGATTTTGAAAATGGAGATTTCTCAATGCTCGTAATGGGACTTGTGCTATAGTTGATTACCTTTAACATCTTCCACAATTTTCTGTAAACCTGTACTCTCATTGATAAAGTTTGTGCATTTCGCTAGTTAGACATACTTATTTGAACGCCAATTCGGTAACAATTACAAGTCTATTTATGTATAGACATTTAGGCATTGGTCCTATTGCAATTATGAAAGTGAATCTGTGCAAATTGGCATGTGTTTAAATAAACTTTGATCTAAGTTAATGAAAATAAGCTGTTTTTACCGTGAATATAATTATTTTGTGGGCTAAAGGAAAGAGTGGGCACATTTTGGGAAAGCACCGGTAAAATGGCAGTATTCTTTTACTTTTTGCAAAAAAATGTTATAATGAATCACTTGAAAATATGAAAAAATTGAATATATTGTAGCATAATAAAATAGGAGATAAAGTATGAGCTTTCATTTTGGCTACGTTCTAATTTTGTTTTAATTTTATCATAAAAATAATAAAAATTTAAAGTTTAAAAATATTTTGTTGTTGTAACTTTCGTAAGGTAATAAATGACAAATTGCAAATGAGTCTAATGTTGTTGCTCAACGGTTTCTAACATTATATATATATATATATATATATATATATATATATTATTTGGTATTTATAATATATACCTTTGAAGAATATTTTTAAACGACACTTCAAAATAAATCGAGTTTATCAATTTGTAATCCAAAATACTTTACGAAATTTCCTTTTGAATTTCGATTAAATAAACAAACATTGAATTTAATATATATGGTTCTAATGAACATATAAATTTTCACCCTTAAATGGGTATAATATGCTTAACATTAATTGAGACCTACTCGGTTGTTTTAATATCTTGTCGTTTGGCAGAAGCATAATTCTGCTCCTGATGTGGCTTCTCAGATCCATTAACTGGTTTTACTCTGTTTGCTGGCTCAGTGACACTTGCGGAGAGTCCAATCTTCGACATAGTTGTACCGGCCATGAGAACGAGATCAGCAAGCCCCTTGTGGGACTCTTCAAGCTTCTGATGAAGACCAGCCGCGACTTTGTAGATGCCCACGTAGATTGCGGTCATGAAACAGAGTGGAATCCAAAAGTAGGAGATTGCGATGAGGGTATTGAAGGTTGTGTAATAGGTGAATGGAACATTGCATTCATTAGGCGGTGGCCTGGGTTCACCCGTCATTTCATACCATGCAAAAATTATAAGTGTCCACAGACAGGCTGGTGCTACCCAACTTATTGCCAAAACGCATTTGAGCTATGAAAACGCGCAAAAATAATTATAAAAAACTATGATTAAATATAAATCCGTAGTATATTTAACATGGATCACCTTTACATCTGTAAAATTTTAAAGTCATTAAAATCCCTAATTTTAATTAACCAATTTCTCTTTAATTTAGGCTGAATAACCAAAACTGCTCTCTTAAAATTATCTACCAATGGCACTTTATATTTCATTTTGAATAATATAATTAGCCCAAATCTAGACACCTGATCAACACGGAACAAATACAGAATTAAACGTCAGTTTTATGTAGAAGATGACAGCTTATAATCCAAAAAGAAAACCAATTTGGTATATACGGGCTATTTTAGGGAGGGTTCCAATTGCGCTAATATATATTAAAAGTTACACTTAATAAACTTGAGATTTTATTTCTCTCCCATGACTTTTCCTAATCAAGAAAATACATTTGAATTATAATTCTTGTTGCTCTCATTTTCATGAAATTTGATTTATAAAGTGAAAATCTAAAATTTCATTTTTAAAATTGGCTTCATGGTTAGAAAATGTTTAACTTTGAAAGGCATCTAAATTGCCACTAATTTGGCTTTCCAAATTGTACATATATTCCTGATCAGTTTGCAAACTAACCGAAAGTATTCACTCCGAACTCAAAATACAATTTTAATTTCAAGATTTTTTCATAAAATTCCACACTAACAAATGTCAAACTATTTTGAGATCAGTGCCAATAATAATATGACAACGTCAACAATTGTGAAACTATTTTTGATCCATACCTTTACTAGCAGTCGTATAGCAAATAAACATTCAGATGTAAACACGCAAAAAAACGTCAAACAGTTTTGGAAATTTGAGTATGAGATAATTAGAATACTGAGATTGAATGGTGTGAGAGTTTATAATTTTTTAAAATACATAAATAAATTTTATAATATGCTCATCATTGGTAAAATTGAATAATTGAATCTTGAACAGAGTATACTATTTAGAAGCCAGTGTGTGTTTTCTAGAATTTACCATTGCCTGCATAAATATCATAAATCCATGTAATAAGAAAATTGGCAATTTAGAAAAAGATCTGTGAGTATGGAAAGTAGAAATGCTTTTAAAAATGGTATTCATATGGAATGAAACTCACCTTTGACTCACTTCGCCAATTTCTATATTTAACCGGAAACTTGACTGAGAAGTATCGATCCAAGGTGATCAGGAACACCGTAGCCTGTGACACAAGACAAGCAGTGAAGTCAATAGTCAACCAGAGGTCGCAAATGAAGTTGCCTAGAGGCCAATATCCCAACAGCACATAAACAATCATGAAATTGATAGAAATCAGTCCAATGGTCAAGTCTGTGACAGCCAGTGAGATAATGAAGTAATTATTTGGTGTACGGACGCCCCGATCTATACAAAATGCTATCAGGACAAGCATATTTCCTCCAATTGTGCATATTGATACTAGAGAGGATAGGATTCCCAGCACCACTATCACAGGTAGTGAATATGGGGTAGTAATCATCTAAATCAAACAGAATACACTTTTTTAAAAAATTATGAATATTTAATAAGAGTTTAAATAATAAATAAAGATTACCTAAGTTTATGTACTTATTCAAACCTAACAGTACGAAATTTACATAGAAAAACTAAATACATAGAGAAGTTTCAAAAGGAACGCTCTTAGACATAATATTAAATAAAACATTTTTTCGCCATTACATACCCTGTTTGGGGAGATTTAAATTATCAACGACGTTTGAATTGCGAATGCATTATCATAAAACGAAAAGAATGCAAAATAGTCAAAGAATTTTCTTGAAGATGTGGAATTTTTGAATAGGAAACTACAATGAACCAAAGCGTCATAAAATACTTTGTAATCCTCCACGTCTATTGGCTAATGGCGAATAGCCAACCACTGAGTATTGGGCAATACGAAGTACATCTGAAATGTAAATGATTCAGTTTTGCTTACTGTAGGCATATTGCACACGGTGAATTGGTTATGCACTTTTTTAAAGTGCATATTTAAACAGTAATATTTTTTTACTTATTTTACTAATATCATAGCTAGAGTACTCATAAATTGCAATAGGTCTGAGGGCACTATATAGCTTACCAAAATTCTAATCTCAGTTTCCTTCCCACTAAAAAGCATTTTAAAAATATTTTGAGTCAGAGAGACAAATTAGCAGAGTAGCATATCAGCATATCATTTATTAGAAATATAATATAAATTAACTTTGAGTAAACTCCTCAAATCGTCAAAAATGTTAAGCTGATTAGTAAATGGGATTCAAATGTGTTTTTTTTCAAAAATTTATTTTTGGCAATATTTCAGTTAGACAGACCAATTAGGAACCAATCAGCGGCCCACTGCACGCTAATGAGAGTGGAGGGGGGGGGGAGAAGAGTGAATATTAGATGTAAATAAAGTCAAGGTATTAAAAACGTTTTTGAACTTTTATCTTCTGGACTTCATTCACATCCATTCGGTTTCTTGATGGAATGATATCCAGAATATAGTGAACTAATAATCAAGTCACATACTTACCCAAAAGTCTTGCCAATTAATTTCAAAATTGATCAATATATCAGAATGCTAATAAGCGTCGCCATGAATTGAAGGTTTCATGGTTATTTCGTATCCAGTAAATTCAACTTCTAAAAATTGCCTTAATATTAAGTTAAACCTCGGTAGCATTTATTTCACCTTCAATCTAAATGCTTCACTAGTCTTCCAATATGCAATTGAAAAAGGGAGGAATAGTTCAAACCGCTTTTTAGTTGAATTGATTTTTGATAATATAATACAAAAGGTGAAAAGCAAAATACAAAATCATTTTAAAATTATAAGATAATTAAATTTTTAATGCATTTGATAGTTTGCTATCACCTCGTGTGTCACCCCAATAAATTTTCGACTTGAACATCATCTTGCTAATTTAGACGTGAACAATGATAGTTAAGGGTGGTCAGCATACAGCGTTGTCATTTTTGTAAGGTATGTAAAAGGAGCTATTCTACAATGAAAAAAACATGGATTTAACTCTGTATATACCATATAAAAAAAAAGAATTTATTATGGATTTTGTTTATTAATTAACAACTTTTCAAAAATTGAAATTTAAAGAGATCTGGAGGTGAATTGCAAAGTGCAAATGGATATCCCGGATCTTTAGTTCCCGCGTTCATATAACTGACCTACCATCCATTTTAATTTTAATGGATTTTAGTCAAATTTAATGGTAAAAATGCGATGCAAAGCTGACAAACTTAGTATATTCCATTCCAACCCTCTCCTCCAGCTCTCTTTCGGTTTAGAGTATAAAACTTAGTGGACTGCATGTATAAAAGTACATTGAGAGTTACGTTGACAGCGGTGTTTGGAATTCATGGCATTATTTGAAAAAAACAAATATCAGACAATAGCCTTGGGTAAAAACAGATTGCAACATCGAAAGATAAGTTCCAATTTGGGTTGAGGACGGGAAGTAATTTGTTACTTCATTATGACTTTTGGTACCGAATCGTCGCACTGGCTGGGAAGCAACGTTCATTTATGGTCCTTTATTATTATTCCAGACTATGAACGCATTTTCTTGCAATTTATAACCAATGTACGGTTTCTTAATATGCGAATCAACAAACGAATCAGGTAGGAATGTGCTGGTTAGCATTTAGGGGTTTGGGTGGGGGGGTGGGGGGGGGGGAAGTGATCGAAAAACGTGCATATTATGAAAGTCAAAAGTCAAAATCCTGCTCTCTTTAATTAGCAAATATGGTTAGCTGTATAGTTTCCCATTAAAAGCTTAATTCATTCTCTAATATCTAGTCATCTAACACTAATTAAATAATTTATCTTTTGGTCAAATATACATTGGTTTTCATTTCCTTTAAATGATAAACATTATTTAAATGGACTTGCTCTTTTAATCACTGAAAATTAATTTTCGGTCGGAGTAATCCAAAATCTTTGCCCAGTGCGGCAAAGAATAGATCATTTTCTTGATCAAAATTTCTGAATTATTAATGAAAACAGAAAACCACCAAAAACAACAATCCCGAATTGATATAATTATGAGCAGAAAATCTCTAATAGCATGACGAGTAAAGAACATTGGTTTTCAGTTTCTTTAATAATACCGAGGCTTGAGTAGCAAAAGGTCTTGTTGGTAAAGGGTTCAAAAAATCCCCGGCTGTAAAAAAAGTTAGAAGCAAAACGAGTGCTACAAAAGCCTTGAAAGAGGTTGAAAAATGTTATCAGAATGACTACTCATCGGATTTGGGGAAAAGATTTTTGAAGCAAGAAGTCAAGTAGACATGTTTTGAGAAATTAGGGCCCCGCATATTGACTATCATAAGATTACACAGGAGGTTTAAATAAGAAATGTGTTATAAAAAGCGTTATAAAATGTACTTTGTAATGCATTAATAAATGTAAAATAGTTAAGGAGCTAAAAGGGTTGCAGTAGGGCAATTCCTTTAAGTATGAGAAATAATAGACCGTTGTTTTAAAAAAGGGTGATATATTACCGATTGGAAGCTATTTTGACACTGGGCAGTTGCCGAAAATTCTGAATTCAGACTTTAGAAAAATTTGACCATAAAACTCAGAAAAATTTATTATTCAATTTTTGTAGCGATGGGAGTTTCTTACAATTACACTATCGGTACTTTGGCGATGTTCAAGTTATTTTCCATCGATCGGAAATATATATATATATATATTAAACAGTTAAAATGACTATGCCTATCTTCGAGTAAATACTTGCGATCATGACTCGCACTTACAAAAGAGTATGCTAATTAGAACTAAGTTCATAAATGCGGAGATGGGAAGTTGAGTTATTTTTTTTCAAATGGCAGGCTTTATGATATTATCATTAGCCCTTAAACTTTGACTTCAACGTCCCCCATGGGTGGGGGGTACATATATAGCAGTTAATTAACAGCAGTTCATTAGTTGTCTTCTGGCTTCCCAGTATCTCTGGCTTTTCGTCGTTGTCTATAGGGCTGGACCCCGAATCAGATGGGTCTTCTCCATTTCCTCCTGTAGGTTACATAGGGGGCATGTGGGTTAAGTGTATACTCTCAATCTGTGAAGGTGTTTTGCCAAGCAATCGTGTTCGGTACGTAGTCTAAACTCAGCAACGGCTTCGATTCTTGGCCAGTCGGCTATGTCGGAGAGTGCCACTGTCTACTGTTTTACCTTTGTTCGAGCTTTAAGTTCGTTGCACTTTGAGGTCTTGAGTTCTCTCCTGATTAAGGCCTTTATTGTGTGGTAAGACATCGGCTGGTCTATGCCTTGCAAAATCGTTGTCCCCTTCTTAGCAAGTGTGTCAGCAAGCTCATTACCTTTAATGCCACAGTGACCAGGAATCCATTATATCAGCTGTTTTGGGTGGCTCTCTACTTCTAATTGAGTTTATTGTTGACCGTGAGTCCGTGAGGGTTATTGCTTTGGTGAATTTCGTATCCAGGCAACATAACTGGCTTAGTGCAATCCTAATGGCCTTTATTTCGCCTTCGAAAGCGGATCTATTGTGTCCCGCTGCTGCGTAGAAAGAGAAGAAATAGTGCAATCCTAATGGCCTTTATTTCGCCTTCGAAAGCGGATCTATTGTGTCCCGCTGCTGCGTAGAAAGAGAAGAGTTCAAAGTAGATACCTGCACCAACATTTGCTTGGTCTTCTATGTAAGACCCATCAGTGAAGACTTGGAGCCATTGATGAGAAGAGTTCAGAATAGACACCTGCACCAACGTTTCCTTGGCTTTCCGTGAAGACTTGGAGCCATTGATCTGCAGGATAGTTAACATCGAAGACTTGGAGCCATTGATCTGCAAGATAGTTGACATTGATTGCTACTAGAACTGGACAAACCATAAACTCAAGATAATTTCTTAGTTTCTATGTGGAATTCTATGCAATTGGTGATCAGGACACTGGAAAACTTCAAGCATGGGTGGAGAAAGGGTTGAGTATTTAGGTTTATGCTAGTTAATCTAGAATTTTATGAACTTCAGCGTTGAGTTTCTAATTCATAAGATGTCTTCACATCTCTTTTGTAGTCGAAATCATACTTGAAATAGTTACTATCCATCGTCAATACGCAATTAAGAAAATTCAAATTTAGTAATCGAAGGCATCATTCAAGCTCTCATTTGGCAATCTGCAGCATGTCACTCCTTTTCAATCAGAATTAGTTAGATATTGTTATCTCTGATTCTGAAACCAGGGGCAAAAATTACCCATCTCTTCTTTCAAAGTTGAGTATAATACTGACAATATAACATATTTTTCAAAGTGAGAAGAAAGTGGTTAGATATAGTTAATAAAATTGCCTTTTAAAGGGGTTATTACTTGAAATAACTATCAATAAATCACGGGATGTGGTCAGTCGTGTGTTTTGCTAAAATTGCACCCATAAATGAATGTCCTTATGTCGCTAATAGTTTATATCAAAATGTACTTTGTTTAATTATTTGGAAATCATCTAATGTGCACAATGGTATTTT